TAGTTTATGGAGCACCAAAAAGAAATTAAATATGATTTTGGTTTAAAGCATATTATTCTAAACATCATCAGCATGAAACTGAATTCAATCTGTATAAAGTAATTAAAAGATATAGAAAGGATCCTAAATTTTTATTATCAATGCTTACCAAAGAAATGGAAGGTACATTCAATACTTTCGCCAAAGTTGTGCCCATAACAACTGCTGTGAGGGGACCAGCAACTCTGAGAAAACGTAAGTGCTTTCTTGTTTTTCCCTAATCACGAATGCTAAAATCATAAAAAGAATCTGATGAAAAGTTAATATTATCAATAAATAGATAAGATCCCATACCAAATGCTTCATGATCTGAAGTACCGCAAGGATGACTGACCCCATTATGAAAGGCGGCCATAAGAACTATAAATAAATATTTACATTAGAAAGTAAAACGAAGAAGATTAGATAGAATGTAGATCCTGTAAGAAAAATATTCATGCTGATACTCTATCCACTCAATTTCCCTCCTTTGTTCTGTCATGGATTATTGATTGTAAGGTGAATGGAGTACTGAATCAGACGCCTAATTTACTATACCACAAGGATATGGTCATGCAATACATACCCCGTCAGCTCCAGCTATTATGCTCTCAATTAGTGGCACGATTTTGCTACTTCTTGATACATCGTACCCCAGAAAGTATTTCACTTGGGATAATCCAATCACAATGGCAGAAGCCGAAGTAAAGCCAGAGATTACAGAGTGACTGATAAAGCGAATAATCCATCCCAGCCTGATAAGGCAACAAATAGAGTACATAATTAGGTAAAACCATAAATCATGTTGTAATTAAAATCTGCATTTTTCAACCATCAAAATTGTCAAGGTCCTCTAAATATTGAGATATGATTTTAAAATGAATATGTTTCACATGAAACAAATATCTCCTCAAAAGGAAAAGGATACCCACCTCAACAGCCCCATCACACATTCCAATATTCCAACCATGAGTGCCAGTAATATTGCAAGTTCAGTATATAGTTCCTCAGATGAATTGACAATTCCACCCAAGACATTAGAAACCAAGAGAGAAACCAATGCTACTGGACCAACTGCAAGCTGACGTGAAGAACCAAAAAATGCATAGACGAACAGAGGGAAGAAACCAGAATCTGCCTTGCAATAAAAATTCCAGCATTAGGAGAGTTTCTCAAATATATGAGCACAAAAAATGTTAGCGAAGTGTAAGGAATTAAAAAATATCAACACCATCATCACATATTAATGCAATCAGGAATTGTTTGCTTACAAAGTCCATATATTGGTCGAAGCCCAGCTAATTTTGCATAAGACATTGCCTGGTAAATCAGAACAAGCAGTCAGGTCCATAACTAACCATTGTGAAAGGGGTAACACAGGTTACAATCTCCAAGAAAACCTTGATCTCGTATAACAAAACTGAAATTAAGCAATAATATAAAATCTGTACAGCATATATATTATTCTTATTGCGACAATTTGACCAACTATTTTATCTTTAACTTGTACAGTCTGTGTTCATTGTTCATTTCCAAAAACCAACAGTTATACTGTAATATGACTGGCAAAATTGATGAAATGAAACGTTTAATTGTCAAGCAAGATTCTGGGAGAGTTGATAAATAGAACTAAAGATCGCACGGTGGTAAGTCCATTCTTATTCCTTAACCATGATTTATCTTTAGAATGTGGACCGAGAACGAGTGGCGTAAAACCAATATCCAATGTCACCCAGGCTCGAAAATAAGAAAACTCAAAAATGAAAGTGTCCTGAAGCAGAAAAGTTGGGTGTAAAATTTCAATAACCACTCTGTAGTTGGTCTTTTTTTTTTTAAGAACACCGTACAGTTTTTTAGTTGGAACGGAACCAATTGGAAGACAAAGTAAAACTTCTAGTTTCAGATGAAAAAAAATACTCCGCCGGCATAAATGAAATATTCTTTGTTTTTCGCCACCAAACAACATTCAATCCTGTTGTACTTCTTTTCCCTTCTTCCTCGACAATTAAACAAAAAGAAAAAATCATTTCTGAATTGAACTTCATGAGAGAGTATGAACGCACCTGCGGAACGAGCATGATGCCAATAGTAATCCCGGACAATAGATCGCTCTGTAAATATTCCCGCCATTTATACGTTCTAATCCAGCGGGAGCAAGGCAGCAAAAGCTCCATCCATTGAATCCAAGTCATCCGCTTCACCTTCGCCGTCCATGTCTTCACCAGAGCTCCGGCAGAAGCACCGGAGGGAGATGACGACGTCGTGCTAGGATGCTGCAGGGGAATGACCTTGACCGGTCGGCTCGAGGCAGGCATGGAGGAAAGGGCAGAATTGGATGAAGCAAGGCTAGTCGCGCTGGGTGATGCGTACGTAATCTCCATACACAAAACCAGCGCAAGGATTCATACAAGCTCCGACGAAGAGCTTCAGCGGCGTGAATCAGTGGAACTGTAAAACTGGTGGTCGACAATTGATTCGATAAATGGAAGCGGAATTGGAGTGGATGAGATGAATTGTAACTTTCTCGACGGAATTGAAATATTTTCTTGGATTCCAATTATTTTCCCGGGAAATTTTCGTTTTTCATTTCTGAAATGGAGGACTGGGATTCGGCATCGTCCGTCGGAGGAGAGAGCCTCTCCCACTCTATCATCTGTCAGAAAATTAATACCGATGATTTAATTCAATCCTCTCTTATATTGATAAATTAGTACAAATTAAAATTTTGGCCAATGATTTATATTTAATTTCAATGTGGTCCCTCAATATACGTAGTTTCAAATTTTTTTAGTAGAGTTTATTTTAGTAATTAAGTGATCTTACTTTGTATTATAGTTTTATTTTATTTTTTTCTTAAAATAAATAGTTCTCATTTATTCCTTATACTTTTGAAAATTATAATTTTATTGAGTTATAATTTTTTCTTACAATATAGTTTCATTTTGTACTAAAAAAATCTTCATTTTAATTTGGTGTGTATATATATATGTATATATATATATATATATTTTTTTTTTCTTTAATGTATGTTTTCATCGTTTTTCTAAAATTATCGTATTAAAATTGTGCTATAATTTTTATTTATATGATAAAAATGTTATAATTTTTTATTATCCTTGAGATAATGTCTTCTTTGAGTTTATTTTATTTTGGTATATTATAAATCAACTTATGATATTATTCTAATTTTTAAAATGTAGAGTTAATCTTATCAACTTAAAAAAATACATATATACATGTATCGGAAAGAATGAAAAGTATATATAATTAAGTGTTCGTTGAAAAAAAATAGTTATCTAAAATAAGACTTGACTAAAATAAAAAAATATAAAAAAAACGATGAGTATATAAATATCAGTATTAATGGATAATTAAAGATTGTTCAACTCATCGCTATTAATTATTTAATTGACAAAATTCAATTTATCTCATACTTTCTGTTTTTAGACATTTTTATATTTTATTTACAGGTTCCGTTGTCGAAAAATAAAAAGATTAAATAAACAGTCAGAGGGCCGTTCTCGAATATTAGATATAATGCTTTTTTTAAATAGTCCCCGTAGAGTTAATTTATTATTTAAAAGCAAAAATTGGAGTGCGAAATACAAAGGTTTTGGGTGTATGGGGTCGTGATAGCGTCTAGGTTCAAGGTTGGTGGTCGAATGAGGATGAAGGTTTTTTCGTCTTTCGGGGCGGCACGTCATCTTCTGACTTTTATTTCCTTTTTTTCTTGCCAAAAAATTTGTTTGATGGCGCGGTGGGGTTGTGTTCTGCCTTTTCTTTCCTCTTGAAATTGATTTTCTTTTTTCAAACAAAATTGATCTCTTTTTTTTAATAGTTCGACTATGTGGGATATTCAAGTCTTACATGTGTTCGTGTCAGCTAAAATTGACGTTAAGTTATTAATTTGATAAATGAAGTTTGAGTTTAAGTTGAATTCAATTGATATAAATTATAAGTCAAAGCGAGCATAGCTCAGCGATAATTGATATGTACCTCCAAATTTGACCTCAGATAGGAAATTTGTGTGTTGTCTACTATAATGACGAGAGTTAAACTCCTAGACAAGTGAGGACAACTAATTAAAAAAAATCTGTCACATGATATAAAATTATATTTTTAATTGTCACGTCGCCTACTCAATTTCAACACTACTGGCTATAGATTAATGTTGGATTTAAAAAATTTTGGATCCCAAATTGAATAAATTATTATAGATTTTGCACATCAAATCATATACTTGGTCTAGAATTAAGGTAAGATTTGACATATTAAAATCGATCCAATTAAATAATTCTAAAAAACGAGGATGCCACTAGAAAAAGCCTATCAAATCATATACGTGGTCTAGAATTGAGGTAAGATTTGACCAATTGAAATCCATCAAATTAAACAATACAAAAAATAGGATGCCACTAAAAAAAAGTTACCCTACTCTTCATTTTGAAAAAGTTGCTAAGTACTTTAACAAAATTAATTAATGATGCAATTATCCTTCGAGTCTCCAATAAAAATGGTGCCCTTGAAGCGACACGCGTGTCGTGAAGGGATTGGTGGGAAAAGGCCAATAGGGTGGGACTTTTCAACTTTATTTTGGGTGATGGAGGTGAGGAGCTAAAACATATGTGGCCAAGTTATATTTATATTTTGTGAAATGGAGAGATATTAATTTATGGAAGAAAATAAAACACTTTTCCCTTCACGTTATAAGACATTTATTGATAGCAATTGTGAGAGGTTTCCAATTACATCGTGTGGGAACTCCTATTGTCAAATAAGGTGGAGATATGAGTATAATTTAAATGGATCTTTTTAAAAGTTGTAGATTCTAAATTTTTATCTTTAATCGTATCATTGTTATAAAAAAAAAATATTTTAAATTGATATTTGGGTTTATATTTTAAGAGCCTATTACCTAACAATTATTTTGAAATTTACGAGTACATTCATATCACTCCATCCATTTGAATGATCTAAGTGTTAGAGGATAAATCAATCCCATTGAAATCTAATTTTCAATAGATTGACTTTGACCCAACTCATGAAGTAATTTTTTGGAATTTTATAGGTTTCACAACTTTAAATTCCAATTTGAGGAGATAGACAATTTGATTTCAAAATATTTAACTACAAATCTATAATAAAAACGATTCATCGCAATTTTATTGTGCATTAAACGTATGTTTTAATCCATAATATTTCAGCATTTTTCAAAATTGGTCTCTAAAATTTTAAATATTTCAACTCTGGCCCTTATTTTTTTCAATTAAGTTGTCACCTAACAAAATACTACTAAAAGAGAGGCAACATTTGCTTGAAAAAAAAGGGTCAATTATTTTTTGAGTTTTTAAATCAAAATATTATTGGATAATAGCATATGAGGATATACATGGTTTAGACGACAATCCAACATTAATCAAACATTGGATATAACGCGAAGAATCAATTTTTTTTTTTCCTTTTCTGATTGAATCATTTCTACTAAAATAAATATTAAGAGTGATTTTAAAATTTTAATTCAATTAATAAAATGTATTTCACGTTATAACATCACTTTACCAACTCATTTACAATAGCTTAATTCAACTGAAAAATGAATACTTTAAAGATGAAATTAAAAACATTTAGAAGGTTGGAGACTAATTTGAAAAAAAAAAAAACCAAATAGTAGGAGCTAGTCAGT